ATTTGGAAATGCCGACCCTAGCACATGAAATCAGCCACAGAATACTAATATTTACCCGAAAGTACACCCATTGACTGTAGGTACCAAGGGGCAAAGAAATGATAGGATGAAAAAATATATGAACAATATAAGAATGCGATTTTAAAGGTTTTTTTTATTTCGGTACGTTTACGAGATACAGAAATGGTTATTATACTTGTCTGGATACTTTTTTACGCTAACGGAAAATTAAGCAGTCTCGACTTGTCACCAGGTGACAATAAAGTTCACCTTGAGAGACCTCTTATGGAGGTGTCATCATATTTTCGCACAGAAAGGTAAAGTGTCGGACTTACAGATTTGATTTCAACGGGACTGGATGCATTCAAGGGATACACCGATACGTGATGGTTGTTCATCCTAAAGAATACACAATAAAAAGAGTTTATTATGATTGTGTCTAGCTGTTAATGAAAACAGTTGTTTTGCACAAACTGCAAATTGCCCAGGAACAGATGAGGAGAAGAAATAGGATCCTTTTTAAAAAAAATGGTTAACCTCAATCTGAATAATTTAGAGGGTAACTTACAAATGATTACAAATGAGTAAGTAAACGAAGTTTACGTCGCCGCCAGGACCCATTAGTGGTTGAATTCACAGCGCCAGGGAACGATAGAACACCATGGTCGCAAATCGTGACCCTTCTCAATTTATTACATAGTATATTGGAGATTTAATGTCGCAGGGATAACAGGAGTGATACACCATAAACGACTGTGTATGTGTAAATGTATTGTCGATTCAAACACGGCTTGGATCTGTTGATGTTGGTAATGCCATAGGTACGGGACAGCTATTAATGAAAGGAAAAAAATTGGTAATGATATTCAACTTTAAATTGATACAAATATGTCTTTTGCCAAATCTCTGATCATTTAAGTCCCTCTTTGTTTGGGGAGGCCGAGGATGCAGGCGTCACCCCTCGGTCTGACAGTACACAATTCATGTCTGTACTGGGTGGCTCTGGGGCTGGTTCTCCGCCTTCTACCCCCGCGCCCACACCGTGTCCCCAGGGTAGAACCAGGAGACCGTCCACCCCGAGACATAAAGCCGAAGGAGACACAGCTCAACAAGGTACTCAGAGACCTCCAACCTCCGCAGCGCTCCCAGGTACCACTCAACACGGTACTGGCAGGCCTCCCAAGTCCGCTGCGTCTCCAGGTACCACTCTACACGGTACTGAAAGTCCTCCAAACTCCGCAACGTCTCCAGGTACCACTCTACACGGTACTGAAAGTCCCCCAAACTCTGCAGCGTCTCCAGGTACCACTCTACACGGTACTGAAAGTCCCCCAAACTCTGCAGCGTCTCCAGGTACCACTCTACACGGTACTGAAAGTCCCCCAAACTCCGTAGCGTCTCCAGGTACCACTCTACACGGTACTGAAAGTCCCCCAAACTCTGCAGCGTCTCCAGGTACCACTCTACACGGTACTGAAAGTCCCCCAAACTCTGCAGCGTCTCCAGGTACCACTCTACACGGTACTGAAAGTCCCCCAAACTCTGCAGCGTCTCCAGGTACCACTCTACACGGTACTGAAAGTCCTCCAAACTCTGCAGCGTCTCCAGGTACCACTCTACACGGTACTGAAAGTCCCCCAAACTCCGCAACGTCTCCAGGTACCAATCTAGGTACTGAAAGGTCTCCAAAGTCTGCACATTTTGTCGGTAGAGGTACAGCTCGAGACACGAAAGCTGAAACTTCAACCGCAGAGACCGAGCGAGTTGGGCTTTCTCGGGGTAATGCATCAGCTGGAGAAACACATGACAAAGACAAACTTGAGTGAGTTTTCTCAAACAGAACCTATGTTTAGCAATTTTTAATCATTGTCTTTAAAAAAGACGCATTTGCGATCGCAGGAAGAATCATGCCACACTGTTAACTTCTTATAATTTTACAAATAAATAGGACCACCTAAATCACCAGCCACCTACCTCAATGTTAGTCACTGTTACACCATTTCTTTCTGTTTGACAGTTTTTGGGACGTATTTCGGACTGTTGACATGGACGTAGTTCGAAAGGATGCTAACGACGGGATGACCTTTAAGGTCATAAAATGTATAGTTTACATCCTGCTATTCTTGATCCTTCTTTGCGCATGCGTGGCACAGAGAGTTGGTCTGATGGTCCTACTCTCCAACGTTCCAGCAGCTTCCTCCACAGCAAGCACCACCAGGCAGGCAAGGAGTGGACTTTCACGTTTTAAAAATAAAAGTCTTCCGGTTTTGCTATATATAACTAGAGGCCTTGTTTCCGATAATAAAGTTAAAAAAGAAAAAAATATACTTTGTTTTTCACAAGTCACAAATATGAACCACTGTTTAGACAGTGGGTTTCTATGATTTACACACTGTTTGGAGAGTAGGTAGTAGGACTATACACACAGTTCAGAGATTGGGTAAGGAGTATTTTACACATTGTTTAGAAGGTGGGTATGTAGTACTTTACTCACTGTTTAGGGAATTGGTAAGTAGGACTTGACCCACTAATTAGAGGGTGAATAAGTAGGACTTTACACACTGTTTAGAGGGTGGGTAAGTAGGTCTTGACACACTGTTAAGAGGATGGATCCGTAGGTCTTGACACACTGTCAAGAGGATGGGTAAATAGGTCTTGACACCCCGTTCAGAGGGTGGGTAAGTAGGTCTCGACACACTGTTTAGAGGGTGGGTAAGTAGGTCTTGACACATGTTTTAGAGGGTTGGTAAGTAGGACTTGACACACTGTTTAGAGGGTCAGTAAATAGGTCTTGACACACTGTTTAGAGGGTGTGTAAGTAGGTCTTGACACACTGTTTAGAGGGGGGTAAGTAGGTCTTAACACACTGTTTAGAGGGTGTGTAAGTAGGTCTTGACACACTGTTTTGAGGGGGGTAAGTAGGTCTTGACACACTGTTTAGAGGGGGGTAAGTAGGTCTTGACACACTGTTTAGAGGGTGTGTAAGTAGGTCTTGACACACTGTTTAGAGGGTGTGTAAGTAGGTCTTGACACACTGTTTAGAGGGGGGTAAGTAGGTCTTGACACACTGTTTAGAGGGGGGTAAGTAGGTCTTGACACACTGTTTAGAGGGGGGTAAGTAGGTCTTGACACACTGTTTAGAGGGTGTGTAAGTAGGTCTTGACACACTGTTTAGAGGGGGGTAAGTAGGTCTTGACACACTGTTTAGAGGGGGGTAAGTAGGTCTTGACACACTGTTTAGAGGGTGTGTAAGTAGGTCTTGACACACTGTTTAGAGGGGGGTAAGTAGGTCTTGACACACTGTTTAGAGGGGGTAAGTAGGTCTTGACACACTGTTTAGAGGGTGTGTAAGTAGGTCTTGACACACTGTTTAGAGGGTGTGTAAGTAGGTCTTGACACAGTGTTTAGAGGGTGGGTAAGTAGGTCTTGACACACTGTTTAGAGGGTGTGAAAGTAGGTCTTGACACACTGTTTAGAAGTTGGATAAGTAGGTCTTTACACATGTTTCAGAGGGTGTGTAAGTAGGTCTTGACACAGTGTTTAGAGGGTGGGGAAGTAGGTCTTGACACACTGTTCAGAGGGTGGGTAAGTAGGTCTTGACACAGTGTTTAGAGGGTGGGGAAGTAGGTCTTGACACACTGGTCAGAGGGTGGGTAAGTAGGTCTTGACACAGTGTTTAGAAGGTGGGTAAGTAGGTCTTGACACACTGTTAAGAGGGTGGGTAAGTAGAACTTGACACACTGTTTAGAGCTAGGGTAAGTAGGTCTTGACACACTGTTTTTAGCAACATTCCATCCACAATAATGCGGATTGTGAGGGAGACATTAGAAAAGAGGCGTCACAAATTGTGCTCATGTGGGGTGGCATTTAATTAAGCGAGTTGCCCTCCTTTGTGCAGGCGGAACAAATATGTTGCAGATATAATTTTAGTAATGGAAACACGAGCATACTTATGGTTTCAAGATTATTGAGCATGGGCACGACAATGGCAAACCATCAAATTTAACTATACACCTTCATTGTTATTGATGAACATATATTTATTCACCTACATAATGTCATTCTTTATATCTCCAGGGCTCGCATTTCGGTGAACCTACACAAACCCCTGGATCCACCCCAGTGGCTCTCTCGATCTCATACAATCTACCCTCCCATTAACCAATTTGATTGGCTGCGCTACACAGCCTAACGAACCAATCAGAATGTGAGTTACAAACCAGCCTCAATGTTGGGTTGGCGATATGAACAAGCCAGCCAGTCCCATTGATTGCGATGGAGTTTGCCAGACATGTAACATTGAAAAACTGAATGACACCCAACTGAAAGCCCTCAAAATATTTTTGAATGAAAGGATGCCTTTTTGCCCACCGCCCTTACCCATTTCCTTTTTCCTTTTCGACGTTTGATTGGTCGGTAATTTATAATGGTAATGAAAACCAAGGGCGGGTAATTAAGATCCCGAGAACCACTGGATCTAGGGGGTAGTGTATGTTTACCGAGCCTTGTATATAGAGAGGATGACGTAGTGTTGTCCAAGATAAACTTACAATAAGTTAGGTTCGTTTTAAGTAACCACTGACAAAACGTATTCAAAAATAAATTACTCGGTAATTGTCAATGTGTGGACGTCATAAGGTCATTCCTGCTTGTCGTAAGAGGCGACTAACGGGATCGGGTGGTCAGGCTCATTGACTTGGTTGATGCATGTCATCGACCCCAATTGCGTGGATCGATGCTCATGATATTAATCACTGGATTGTCTGGTCCAGACTCGATTATTTACAGACCGCCGTCAAATAGCTGGAATATTGCTGAGTGCGGCGTAAAGCAACAAACCAACCTTCCAAACAACCATCCCTGGTTCACATACTTACATTGATTGGATTTCCTAGCATAGACGTACGCCATTCTTGAACATCGTTTGTTTTTTGCAGGACGGAAATAGTATAAAGTCGACCAATATTCACACCGCACACTACTTCCACCTGACCATAGCAATGTGTATTCCTTACCTACTTACCTCCCTTATAGCGCTCTTCAAATGGCTGGTGAGAACATTCGCAACTCCAGGCGTCCTAACGTGGATCACGGTAGGAACATAGCCATTACAAGTTGAAAAACAAGTTTGATGAAGGTCGTTTGAAAATGAATATAAATAGTCCTCTGAGATTATCATAACTGTAAATATAAAACGTGAAGGCCAGAGAATAACCAGTCTGGATTATCCACCGATCCATTGGGTGTAAAAGCGTCGAGGATCATTGAAAATCAGTGATGTCACCAGGTGTTCGTGAAGGGGTAACGGATTAACGAGACTGATTAATGAGTGATTTCGGCAATAAGGTGTGTCGGAGTCGGTGTGCGAGACTGTCGGATTAACGGGTCTAAACAGCTCTGATTTAATTGGTTCCCATCATTAGTGTCGGATAAAGCTGATTTTCGGATTAACGAGTGTCGGATTAACGAGACTTGACTGTATGTCGTAGCCTTCCTGTAGCACCCGCCTCTCACACAATTTGCATTAAAAATAGTTACTCATGAGCAGTACCAGAGAAAAGATTATTGATTACACTCAGGATACATTTTTTCGTCATATTTACACTTTCCATTTCTTTAGAAAGGTGACACGATATTTCCTGTTTGTTGCCTGACGCTGCCAGTCACTCGATATCCGTGCCAGAGAAAAGATTCTATCAAGTTTCTATATGAGGATTGATTTCAGGATATAGTGATACGTTATTTAGTGCTTGTTGGGTTATAATTCAGATCTACACATGTAACTGTTTTAGGTTCTGTTATCGGAGACCATCCACTCCCTAGGACTGTGTGCCCTTGTCTTCTGGATCCTACCCAAGTATGACGTTATATCTGGCGCACTTCTCCTCAGTGCAACAAACATTCTGCCGTCCCTTCTACTAATTACCTGCTCCGGCAACGTGTACGGGGATTCCAAAGTGAAGGTTGTCTTGAAGAAGAGTTTGGATGTCTTTGCGTTGATCTGTCAAGCTTCAGTGGTCCTGCTACTCTTCCCCTTCATAGATCCAGCACAGCGCCTGGCAAATCCAACAGACAAAGCTGTTTTGGTGATCGGGGTTTTGTTCACCTCCATCAAATGCTGGGAGACATTTGTAGATGGTCATATTGGCCATCTTAATTCCCAGTGTTTGTCAGACAGCGGCAACTACAACAACCGCTTCATGAACAAAATACTGAAGGTCCGCTTTGAACTGCAAGAAGGAAGGTGCAGCGTGTCGATGGTGGCAGGAGTGTGGAAGGTCATCATCACTGTTGCGGCAGTTTACTTAGTGATGTATTTGAAGGGGGTTGATCTCAAGAACACTGACAAGGTATTTGTTGTGTTCACGGAATTACACGAAGATACCACCATGCTGTCTTCCTTGTTAGCAGTGACTATCGGTGGCTTTGTAGCGTACTATGCAGCGTACACAGCCTGTAAGTTGCAGATGCAGATAATGTCCTTCGCTGTACCAATCGTCGTTTCCATCCTCGTTACACTGGGGATTTTGGCTGGTGACTGTCATCACAATGATACTGGTTTCATCCAACACATATCCATATACAGAGAAAAGTGTGACGTCTCACAAAATGTGTACTATCTAGGGTTATCATGGTTATTGTCACTGTTGTGGGTCGCTCGACATATTTGGTTTCCAAGGCAAGGTCGACTGGAGGAGTACGAAAGGTAATGCTATTGTTTTAGAAAGGAAATGTGAGGTTAGGGCTGACTATGCCGTTAGAGACGACTAACTGGTCAGAATGTCAGGCGCGGTGACCTGACTAATTGGTGTCATTCTGTCCCGATGAAGTAGATCGCTGCTGATGCTACAAGTCACCAATTAAAGACAGGCCGCCATAATGTTACCGACTGCGGCGGCGTTAGACATCATTCGCTGATTCATTATGAGTTGAATCCAAGATTAATCTAACACTCCCGGAGTGCCCGTACACTCCTGTATATCTCTCCTTATACATCAATAACATGTAGCGAGTATAAATAGTTTCTATATTTCTTTCCAGATTGTTCATCAACCCATTTTATTGTGGGATACTGACGTGTGAAAACCTTGTCCTGAACCGTCGTCGTCACAACGAAACTGTCACCTATTCCTGCGATGGACCTGACGATCAGCAAGAGCACTTCTTCATAGTCAAGCCAAGAGGTGTCAAGCAATCTAGCTCTTCAACACAACAAGATGCAACCAGTGCAGAGATTCCCTTCATATACGCATGCGCAACTATGTGGCACGAGACCAAGAAAGAAATGACCCAGCTTCTGAAATCTTTGTTCAGGTAGTTATAAATATTCAATGAGTGAGTTGGGTTTAATGTCGCTTTGACCATTATTTCATATCAGGGTATGTTAGTTTAGTAAGGGTGATAACCCCACAGTTTAAAACACAAGCAGCGGATTCTAGCACGCATGGAGTGAGTGAGTGAATTTGGTTTTTACGCCGCTTTTAACAGTATAACAGTTATATCACGGCGTGTCAGCTTAATGTGGGAGGAAAACCCGAAGTGATGCAGTTCTCAGATGTTTACCACTTCGGTGAAACCAACGAACACGGGTATGGTGCTGACAAACATAGAAACATAAAAGGGGCGAACCGGGATTCGAACCCACAATCAGTTGTTTCTGGCGTGCCCAAGGGACACAACTCTGCACAGCGAATCGCGGCGCCTTAGACGACTGGGCCACCCATGCCCCCCAGCACGTATGGAGGATGTTCGTCAACGCGAATTTTGGAGAATAACACCGTTCTTCTAATTCACATTTGTACTGAAGGTAAAAGTACACCCAAGTGCGTATATTTAGAACCTGATTTCAGTCTAGGGGGGATGGTGGTCGCTGATACTATTCCACGTTCATTGTATCCCCAGGCTGGACAAAGAACAGGCGTTGAGAGAGCAATGTGCAGTCCTCCGCAATACAGAAGACGTGAGAGATAGGTTCAACTACCAGGGTAAGCTTCAGCGGTACATAAAAAATATTGGCCAAAAAACGATGATGGAATTTGGACGCTCTCAATTATATACGATATAAACGCTGAGCTTTCGATTCCAAATTCAATTCACCGCCATCAAATCTCCAAGGAACACAGCTCTGAATTGAAAACACAATATGTTTATCTCCATTGCACCATGACATATTTTTACTAGTACGTTAAGCTTGACAGATTTAGCGACGACTAACAGGAAATCCATCGGCTCTTATACGGAGACACCCCGTGAAGATTCGGAGTGAGACTATAGGTACCCTGCAACCTATGCTTGTCGTAAGGGGCGATCCGGTGGTCAGGTTCGGTGACGTGGTTGATCGTAAGTTATCGTATCCAAATTTGCGTGGTTCGAAGCTCAAAATCAATGGATTGTCTGGCTCAGACTTGTTTCTTTACTGCCGTCATATAGCCGGAATACTGATGATTGCGGCGTTAAACAGCCGCTATATCCTGGCTGATCATGTGACATCGTAGCTTACGACATAGCTAATTGTCACAATCACAAGTAAATTAGTATCGTGGTAAATTCCATTTCGGGAATTCCGTAATGGTGAAATCCCTCGAATTTGTTGATTCCGGAAGTAGAATCAACGAGCGAAACCATGTCATGGCTGACATACGTATGATTTTATCTATAATTTTGAGTAAGTTTTCCTGTTTTAAATGCAGGTTGGGAATGGACCGTGAATTCCTGGCACAGAATCAACTGCAATAGCGTGACGTCATCGAAATGGTGAATCAGTGCTAGACACATTACTGCCTCGTTGGAGACACATTATATCTTTGGTTTTTCAACATTTTTGTTCCAGCGCATATATTTTTTGATGATTCTCTGGAATTAAACGACGATGACAAATGGGAGGCTAACGTGTTTGTAAGAACATTGGTCAACGTCATGAGCGACGCGTGCAGGTATGAGTCTTTTTTATGTTGAATCAACAGAATGATGTTTGACAACAAAATACAATCTCTGAACTAGTTTGACCCTTACACAAACAATGTTCGCGTATTGTTTATTATTGTTCATGGTTGTTGTACTCGTGGCGTATTATCATTCATCTTTTTCATTTCATTAATAATCTCAGAACACATGTTTATTTGTTTTGTTTTTTGTTTAACGCCGCACTCAGCAATATTCCAGCTATATGACGGCGGTCTGTAAATAATCGAGTCTGGACCAGACAATCCAGTGATTGACACCATGAGCATCGATTCACGCAATTAGGATACATTTACATGTTTCAACAAAGTCCGCGAGCCTGACCATCCGATCCTGTTAGTCACCTTTAACGACAAGCATAGTCGCCTGTTACGGCAAGCATAGGTTGAAGACCCATTCTACTCCGAGTCTTCAACATGTTTGTCATGATAAATGTCCTAGTTTTAATGTTCACTCATCAGTTAATGGGTACCCGGTAGGAGTGATATGGATGCAACTGTCAACCTACCAGAGCCTCACGGATAGCTTGGTCTGTGTACTGCCCATGGAGTTGAGAATGCAAATCGAGTGCACACCGATCCATTAAACAGTGTAGTAATACTTTCGTGCCATGAGCATACGAATCATCATCATCATCATCATCGTCATCATCATCATCATCATCGTCGTCGTCATCACCATGGAGTCAGTATACTGTGCCTGAGTGGGATAGGGCGGTCGGGTAGCCTAGGGGTTAAAGCGTTCGCTCGTCACGCACAAGACCCGGGTTCGATTCCTCACATGGGTACAATGTGTGAAGCCCATTTCTGGTGTCCCCCGCCGTGATATTGCTGGACTATTGCTAAACGCGGCGTAAAATCAAACTCACTCACTCACTCACTGAGTCGGATATCAATGTTAAACTGCGGCATGGTATCTCAGTGGGCTAGCACTGTACAAACAGCCACACACATACACACCCACGTGCATGTCGCAGTATAAATGTAATAATCTTATATGTGACGTTAAACCCAATTTCACTTCACTTCACTATTTATTATTGAATATGACATTATTGTCGCCTAGCGCTGTTCACCAGAGGTACTTGCATCTGCATGCTCCCTACAAAGTCATCACTCCGTACGGGGCCCAGCTGATCTGGGAGATGCCTGGCGGGAATCTGTTGTATGTCCACATCAAGGATAAAAACAAGATCCGGCACCGGAAGCGATGGTCACAGGTAACTTCCAGGTATCCATTCCCATTGGTTAAGGTAAATGGTGAGACAACGGCCTCGTTGAGAATGATGCCAAAATTGGTACAAAGAGTTACGTCCCTTGCACATGCCAGGATCCTACGATCCCCGATTCGCCCGATTTTGACCCTTGGTTTCAGAGCACCATAGTCATGCTCCAGCGGCACTCATCAACTACACGTCGTTGACATTCCCCACTATGATGACACCTGTGTATAGGGATATATACATGGATGCTGAAAGACCAAGAATTATAATCGGGGGTATCTAGGCGTGCACATTAGCAACGGGTCATGACAAAGCAGGGAAACAACTCTTCTCAGCGCTAGATAATACTTGACCAAACATGCCAATCAAGAAAGCATGTTACTTTTACAATTGGTATATTTACATTTTTTTTTACATTTATACAAAAAAGTTTATTATGAGTATGAACTGGACAAAATGTTCAATGTAAATTAACAATGATTGATATTCGATAAAGCTGTTTATTTATATGCCCGGAAACTTTTTCTTAACTTAGGCAAATGTAACTAACGGTATAAAGACTATTAATTGGTTGACAATGACACGTGTGTCCACTCCAGTTGCCAGACAGAAATTGATGACAAAGGCCTGTTTTGATTGATCATTTACTTTACTACGTTTATGGGGTCTCTAATGTCCACTAAATGGGGTGCTGGGATTTTGTGCTGGGAGTAGATTACTTTTAAAAAATCAGAACTGAATTATAATTGAGTCTGAATATTTTTTTTGCTGAAACACCTTGCAGCAATGTAGACACTTTCTTTTTTCTTATTTTTTCAACAGTCTGAAGCAGGATTTTTTCTTTCAAGAATTTTCGGGCACAATTATTTTTGATAAAATTACCCCCACAACACCCCGCCACCACAAACCTGTCGGCCCCTAACCTGGAGATATAAATTTGATTTGAAGTGCCACACAGACAAACTCATCATCGTTGTAGGTGATGTATATGTACTACTTGCTGGGGTATCATCTCCTAAAAGATTCTGCTCAAGACATCGTCAACCAAATCAACCCAGAAATACCAGTGGACAAGACGCACGTCAGCGAAATGATTGACTTAGACACGAAAAGAAAGGTAAATACAATGAAAGCAGAGATTCAGGATTCAGTTATGCTTTAGAGGTATGCTAGAACCGTGTGTAATATCATTTGGCACCGCAGACTTATTATGTATAACACTTTTCTCAGGTATGCTCCAAAATGGAATCTGTTTGGTAGATATTCTAGACTGGGTTTTCTCTTGCTTTGACAATTTAGTTTTTCATACAAAGTTTGTATTGCGCTGTTTCAACGGAACTCAATACGTCAACATCACAGACTAGCTGCCGAAAATAAAGCAGGTCACTAATTTGGGTCTCTGAATATGCCTGGGCAACAAATTGACCACATCAATTAAAAGATGCAGAACCCCATTCTTGCAAACAAAAGCCCTTTTGATTAGAAAATGTAATTTCTCTTTCAGTTCGTTAGGGATCATTTGTAGAAATCAGATTTGGGTGGAAACCTGGACATTCTTAACTTGACCTTTTCTTCATCTGAGATTGTAAAAGGGCACCAAGTGAACTTTTTGACTGTGAAAATCCACGTGACCTTTTCCACAGTGTTTAATTAGAACTTGCTTGATTGTTGTCAGAATTATTGTTTGACAAGGATTTGGTAGTCACATGTTTCTTAATCAGACAAAGGACTGGCTTTGTATGTTGGATTGGTAGATAGTTTACATATCATAATTGTAAATGTTTGACGCTTTGTCAGTTGGAACAAGGCACATTGCCCATGCAGTTCAGCAAGACTTTTTGTGACGACGGCGGGTTTTTTGTACTCGTGACGGTGTTTGTGATTTAATTCAAGATCTATTTTACGAATAAATTTGACCCACTCAGAAAGACGTTCAATGGTTCGCTCTCTCGTTTCGCCCACTTTTTGGTATACGTTTCTGTGAAGACACAACTTAACCATTATGTCTAGCCATAAAATGTAACAAATTTGTATATTAGATTTGATTAATACGTTTTTTATTTTCAGAGCAAAAACACATTCATCCTGACATTAGATGGCGACACTGACTTCAGCCCTGGGTCGGTCAGAGTTCTGCTAGACAAGATGTCGAACGAGAAAGTTGGCGCAGTCTGTGGCAGAACCCATCCTATCGGCTCAGGTGTGCCAACTGATAAAGTATATAAAAATATCAGATTAAAAATTGTCACATGTATTACAAAGCTATTTTATCCCAAAGCTCATACATGATTCTCAATCATTCAAAGAATAAGTACATAGTAATCTATGTTAATCCCTTTTTGCAGGTCCTCTTGTTTGGTACCAGAAATTTGAATATGCTATTGGTCACTGGCTACAGAAATCCACTGAGCAAGTCCTAGGCTGCGTCCTCTGCAGTCCTGGGTGCTTCTCCCTCCTTAGAGCCTCGGCTTTAATGGATGACAACATCATGAGGACATACACAACACTACCAACCAAACCTGGACACTTCCTGCAATATGATCAAGGTATTGATACGTTTAAGCATAGATACAGTATTCATGATCAGCCTGAAAGGATCAGAATATGTAATGTTGGTTTCCTTGTTCCAGGTGAAGACCGATGGTTGTGCACGCTGCTGCTCCAGCAGGGGTACCGAATAGACTATGCTGCTTCCGCTGATTGCTACTCGTACGCACCAGAAGGATTCACTGAGTTCTTCAACCAGAGAAGACGCTGGACTCCTTCCATCCTGGCCAATATTATAGATCTGTTATCATCATCAGAAACCACTGTCGCTCGCAACTCCGACATCAGCTACTTGTACATGGCATACCAGATGGCGATGATGGCAGCGACCATCTTGGGACCAGGTACTGTCATCTTGATGATTGCTAGAGCCCTTGAAGCAGTTTTCGCGCCTGGATTGATATATGCTTATTTGATGTCCTTGCTCATTCCAACCATCTTTACAATCGCTTGCTTTACAACCTCTACCAAGATTCAGCTTACTCTTGCGGCAATATTCAGTGCAATCTATGCCTTCATTATGATGGCTGTCATTGCTGGCACTGTCGTGATTGCCTTCCAGAAAAGCTTTCTCCACCCAAGTGTCCTCTTTACCACCATTCTCTCTGTCTTGTACATCTTGTCTGGGCTGCTCCATTGGAAAGAAATAAGTTGTTTACCTCATGGGTTTCTGTACTTCCTGTGTATCCCCTCTGGGTATCTTTTACTGTTTATATATTCACTTTGCAATCTGAACATTGTATCCTGGGGCACTCGTGAAATACCCAGGAGGAAAACCAAGCAGGATTTGTTGGCTGAAAAGGAAGCTGAAGAGAAGAAAAAGAACGAGAAGAAGAAAGATGGTTTGTGTGCACGTCTTTTCTTTAGTACAACCTATATCCAAGAACTCAAACAACTACAACTAAAAACTAATGTGCTGGACGATGTTGTGACACTTTTAAGACAAATGAATGACAATATCGCTAAACTATTATATCAGTCAACAGCAGATCAAACTCAAAGTCAATCATCTCACAAAAGTGCCGTTGCTTACAGCTTAAATGAGCCTGATACAGAAATTCCCGCCTCTACCGAAGAGCCGGTACCAACAGAAGACGAACCTGAGACAGACTATTACAGGGGTAATCACTGGGCTCATGATCCGGCACTTGGAAATGGACCAGTTCTGACACTAATCGGCAAAGAAAAGGATTTCTGGAATGTTTTAATTGAGAAGTATTTAAAACCAATAGAAAAGGATTCTCAAAAAGAAAACCAAAACAAGGCTGAATTAATCGAGCTGAGAAACGTCGTATGTTTTCTGATGGTGATGATGAATGCTCTCTGGATTGCTATCAACTTTATGTTCCAGCTTTCTGAGACTGCCACTTTTACAATTGAGTACAACCTGAGTGGGAAAGTTTTTGTACTAAAGATTGATATCTTTGAACTTCTCTTCATGATCTTCTTCACTGTACTCATCTTAATCCAGTTCTGGGGGATGTTGCTTCTCCGCTGGGAAACGTTCTTACATCTGATTTCAAGGACTTCCCTGAAGGGTACAATGGAAGAACAAACCCATCAGCTAATGGAGAAATTGGAAGAAACAACAGAACTTACAACTGAGTATGACACGGATCAGGAACACATCTACATCAGACTGAGAGATGTAGTTACAGGTGGTCTAACTGCCAGGACGTTGGCCACCACAAGAAGACGCAATTTGTCAATGACTGCAACACGTCTCAGTGGCAATCTTGATCTCACATCGACGGTTCTTGGAGATTCAGGAACATCCCAATATACACGACCTCGAAAATATACGGCAGGACAGAATGCGTACAGAAGGAAAACTAGCCAAAATATGTTGCGACATCGGTACTCTCGTAAGATGTACGATTATGTAGTAGCAGAGGCAAAAAGAGGTAATCGTACATCTGGGGTTAATGTTCCTAAATCTTATTTCAGTGACGATGTTCCAAACGTTGATAAGTCCTTGCCAGGTACGATGGGCAGAGGGTTCGCTAAACAGATGACGTTTTTGAAACATGCTTCAAGGCAGAGAGCGGATACAAGGGTGGATATGTCTCAATTATGGTGAGCTTTATTTGAGCATCAGGGGATGCTGGGAAAACATTGTTGCTGTAAGAGGGCATTCAAGTTTTCTGATGGCTTTATGAGTGTAAGTGTACTAGTTTACCGTGTGTGTACTAGTTTACCTTGTGTGTACTTGTTTACCTTGTGTGTACGTGTTTACCTTGTGTGTACTAGGTTCAGAGTGAGGCAGCCAGTCAGTGTGAAATGATAAGACTTTTAATAAAATACACGTATATCAAATATTAATCATCTTTGTTGAAATGAAAATTGGATATATTACATTTGCAAATGACTGTGATAAAAACATATATATCAAGTATGTGTCTGATTGTACTACACCTTTGTCGAACTAGGCAGGAATTATGGGGTTATATTTTGGCTGGATTAACAAGTCTATGCATAGTCCAATCAAAATCCCGTAACGATATCGACATCCGGTTCATAAACAACATGGCAACAGCTCTAGTGATATGCCTTTCGCGAAGTAAAACCCGTTTTATTGCAATAAGGGCCTTTATTATCGATGAGATCGTCTTGAATGGGCGCCGCCATTTTACCCTCCAAAAACAGAAACGCAAGCCAGATTTGTGTCAGGTAGAAAATACATTTATACGAGGAACCGTAGAAGGTATTGAGCCAAAATGTTGTGGAGATAACACTTGGTGATTGAAGTCATCTCAGTTATCGGTACATAGGAAAAGTCCAAGGTGAAGGTCAGCTACCATCAGTAACGCGTATGTCCCCCGTTTGAATCAATAGCAGCCTGACATCTCCTGCCAATGGAAGAGACGAGTATGCGAAGCACATCCTGGGGAATGGTAGCCCAGTCGGCCTGCAACGCAAAAGCCATCTGCTGCAACGTCTGGGGATGTGGTTTGACGTCGGCGTAGCCGTCTATCCAATTCATCACACAGGTGCTCTATCGGGTTCAAATCCGGGGATCTGGAGGGCCGTGGGAGAACATCAACGTTATTGTTGTTGTGTAAACAGGCTCTTGTGATCCGTGCTGTATGTGGTTGAGCGTTGTCCTGCTGGAATACACAGTTGCCGTCAGCTGCAATTGTGAGGACGCGTGGTAGGATAATTTCGTTGATGTATCGTTGAGCCGTACGATTGCCCTGGATAGGACCAAACCTGCCCTGCCATGATGAGAGATAGTCGCCCACATCATAACGCTACCCCCACCAAACCTGTTGACTTCCTCTATGCAGTTTCCGGCGTAACATTCTCCCCGTCGTCTGTAGACCCGTGCTCTACTATCCTTTCGACGGAGGAGAAATCTTGATTCGTCGCTGAACCAGACATCTCGCCATCGCAGTTGAGGCGATACCCTTGACGACACAGTGTTGACGATGACGATGCAGTAGTTATTGACGATGTTGTCGACTCAATATGACGCGTCGAACAGGACGTCTTGCTCGTAGACCTGCTGCTCTTAAACGGTTTCGTACGGTCGTAGATTCTGCGCAGTCCGGGTATTTGGGATACGGTTGAGGTTGCTGTGGTCGTCCTTTCACGTAGGTGGCGCAGTCGGATGTAGAGATCGTGGGCGGGGTTGATTACTCTTGGTCGTCTCGACCTTGGCCGATCACGTGTTGACCCATGCTGTTGAAACCGATCCCATAGCCTTGTGATGGTGCTCGGTGCTACATTGAAAACCCTGGCTACCGCTGATCGGGATTTCCCTGCCTGCAAGCGTCCTATGACGTTGATTCTTTGCACTTCAGTTAATCTTGGCATGTTGTTGAACTGTCACTGTTCGATTGACGCAGATGCCAGGCAATCAAAAACCCTGCACTTTAATACCGTTTATAGTGCTGCTGCACGTGCAGTGTGTAGAGCTCCATGGCCCTTTTCTTAATGCAAGGGGTGCGTTTTTTCCGAAACGTACGTGTTCCCGGACTAATGGTTTGCATGTCCTTGTTGTGATCAATTTGGTCCGGGACATTTGCGACTGACACTATAACACATTAAACCTCTTCATTTTTCACCTCTTGGTCCGCTAATCTTTCTTTTATGACAAAAAATATCCGCATTGCGTTTCTTTTTTTGAAGAGAATATTTAAAGCAAATGCAAGTGGTATGAGAGGTGGAACCTGATTGTCAGAAGGGGGTTCTTGGAAGGGACATAACTCGAAACAGCCACTGGTGGCGCTGCATTCGAGCCCAGAAAGTCCAGTCTAATTCGACAAGGTTGAAAACTGGACTTTTAAGGAAGTTAACTCCCTTGAAGATGGTGCGTGAATAATGCTGAACTTTCAGCATGCATTTACATTATTAGTGTTTTCGTGTCTTGGAGACATGACCATTCCTCTTTTGTACGGGATTCCAAAGCTCCATAAAAAGCCGTACAAAGACATATATTGCTGGGTCCAGCAAAGCTACCACCAATTCCATGCATCAAAGATTAACCATAATCCTAATACAATCAAAGAATGGCGTTCTATATATTTACAGAACGTATTTCAGACAAGTGGAACTAATACCTTGAGGATTCTCAAATACTAAGAGGTGAGGTGAAATGGGGTTTAACGTCGCGTCCAATATTATAGCACTTATATAGCGATGTGCATGCACGTGTATGTATGTGGCTGCTTGTACTAGTCTGGACTGATGCCAATTTATAGTCCTAACACACTGAGATACCATGCCGCAGTTTAACATAAATACCCCACTCAGACACAGTATACTGACTCCGAGCCGACCAGTTCTTGTTTTAGCCCCTTAATGCCTAGCGCCAGACAGGGTAACAACAAGTACTATCTTTTAACGTCTTTTGGCATGACGCGGTCGGGGATCGAACCCACGGAGGCGGTCCTCAAAAACTAAGAGGATATGCTTGAATATTTGCAATCTCAGAAAAAAACGAAAACAGAAAAAATGCCATCTGAAGTTTACTGAGAAAACAATATGTGAAATGCTGGACTTCCTCATTGATAACGTCTATGTGAAATATGACATTTAGGCAAGACGTAGGCATCCACATGGGCAAAAATCGTTCTCCCCTTCTGGTTCATCTATTCATTTATACACATGCACGTTTTACTTAAGCTTCAGAGTATCGATGATCTCATTTCGTTTAATCACGGCCAGACAGCCACTTCCCGAAAATAGAAATAAAAGACACCATTGAGACCGCCTCTTCGGTTTCATATTTAGATCTATGCATGAAGATTCAACGAGTGACAAAACACTCTTCGCAAGACTGTATGTCAAGTCAACTTTCCCTTGACGAGCAATAGTCCAACATCTCCAGCCACTGGCGTCTACATTCAACAACTTTTCGGGCTACAACCGAACATCTTCTCTCTCCAATTTCAAAGAGCGCCATTAAAGCTTTCAAAATATTTTATGGTAGACATGTGGAGGACATTATCAAATTCCACGCATCGGTGACATAATGATGATATCCAATGCAGTTATCTCGCTTGATTGTTACAGTCGTTCCCGTGTTTTTTTCACGTGAACAGTTGACTTGCCTTGGAATGTATTTGTGATGGGTGCTACCAGTGGGGAAGGGTACGCCCATCTTTTCAGAAATTTGCAGAAAGTACAAACATACAGCTGATGATATGACAGGAAAACGGTTATTATAATACTCACTTGTTTCTTGAGTATATATAAAGGTGCTACTTTTATGTTCTCTTCAAATAGGGGTGGTGGGGTATCCTATGATTATGGAAGTGCTTTGTCACTATCTGCGTATCTTATGTAACATTTTGGAATTATGCATAGAACAATTTTAACACGTTGTAAGCCGAACTGTTCAAGTGCACATGTGCCTTAAAACGAGAATCTTTGTCTTTAAACAATGACGTATAATCAGTATGTTTAATTTGGAGTTGAAATATATCCAAAGGAGATCATTGTTTTATACACCTTGAAAATGTTAAACATCCCCATAGGTAAAACTAAAATTCGGATATTAATTTTGGTTAAATTAATACCTTAGACCCTTCGAAAGTGCATACGTGGCGATACATTACACAAAGCAAACCTTAATGTACATTCAACAATGAGTGCAAGTTCAAGTTATGCATTCTTTGTCTTAAAACAATGACGTATAATCTATATGTGTAATTTCCTTCTTGTTATTTTCGAATGCCTTTGTTATATTGTAAAATATTCCAACAAAATCACGGCGGGGGACACCAGAAATTGTCGGGATTCGAATCCTTGTCTTTGGCGGGCGTGACGAGCGACCGCTTTAACCACTAGGCTACCCGACCACCCCACCCGACCCCACCCCGCCCGACCCCACCCCACCCCCTTAGGTAATGAGTTAAATCGTGTCACCATTAATTTCGACTGCAACGGTAATGGTGATTATGGCAAGTATGGTGTTCCATCTTGGGGAGTGACCATTCATGTTTGACGGTGATGAAATGGGCTTTACACATTGTACCCATGTAGGGGAATCGAACCAGTTACCTCACCGCCTCTACATTTACTGAAACAAATCTGCGGATGCTTAATTATTTTCGAGTGGTATATTTTCAAGTGAACTGACAGCACTTCAAACAGTCAATGAGCTATGTATTGGCTATTATATATAGTAGTATCTACGTTTACAGTATCCATGTATGTAAATGGGCGGTCGAGTTAAAGCGTCAGTTGCACGCTCGTTCGATTCCCGACATGGATACAATGTGTGAAGCCCATTTCTGGTGTCCCCCGCCGTGATATTGCTGGAATATTGCTAAAGGCGGCGTAAAACCAAATTCACTCACTCACCATGTATGAGAAGGATAATAACTGACTCCGAGGTTTGGGCTGAGAAAACAACATTATTATCAACAATATCTTGTTCCAAACATACTTTCAATGAACCTTAGGAAACGGTGGTAAAATATATCTTGCTGGCGACCATGTACTTGAAAAAGAGATTCTTAAAATCATTGTGTATTATCTGTTGCCCAGTTGTTTATAAAGGTGAGGCGTCCTTTAACTATATGTTTGTGTTTCTCATTTCAAGATTTCCCAGAGCGGGGCGGGCGGAAACAGAAAAGAAAAATGGTTCCGTATTGCTGAATACCTACTCAATGCTTAGACTATCTATATAAAATATTTGACAATTTAAACATATATCGGTCGACTATTGAAAGCAAGCGGAACCCGAAAACACCGAAATCTAATTGTGGAAAAGGATGTAAGAGGAAAGCACATGTAGATTAAAAAGAAACTATCACCATAAAGTCA